GGATAGCAAAAGGTTCCTCATATTAAAAAAATATGTTTTACAGAATTAAAGCGTTAAAGGTAAAATATATATATATATATATATTTATATATACACACACATAATTATTATAAATAATCTTTTTCTTAAGTTGTTGATCAGACAAAAAAGGCAAAACAGCTGTTTTGTAATCAAGTCAAACAACGATGACCTTCAAACCTGTTTATTACTGTTAAATTTTGAGGACTTTAAAAATCCAGATGATTTCATCAAGAAACAGCACTATTTAGAGATCTTCAGAAACAAATGTTGTTTAAAATAATTCAAGTTAATATTTTTTACTTATTCCAGAAACAATCTCCTTTCCAATCCAAGTTCATGAACACAAACAAAACCTGCAGCTGCTGCTGATCAGCATTTTCATCTTAGAGGAACATTTAGCTCTTAGGTTTTTAAAGAGCAAAGCCCTGAAAGCTGAAGGGTCTTACTTTCTCCTGGTTGGACGGTTGTTCTGGCTCATCTTTGACCTCGCTCTGCACCACTTTCCTGGACACCGACAGGCCATTGTGACGGGCGAGCTTCAGAGGGCCCATTTTCCTCACCTCTGACCTAAACCCTTTCTTCATCCCCTGGTGTGACCAAGCAGACAGAGAAAAGATCAAGGTAAATGCGCAGCAGCTCAAGACAAATGGCGACTGGCCAGGTGAGGGGAGGGACAGCGCATGCTTGCTGACATTTCGGGAACAATGTCACCTTTCCGGTTTAGCAAGGAAACAACAGCATTCCTCCACAAACTGTCAACCTGAAACTGTTACGGTCATCAACTGCAGGTGAAAAGACTTCCAATCTTGTTTTTCTCTCTCTGTGTCTCTCTATAGGTCAATTTGGTGGATTTTTAAAAGATATAATAAGAAGTTAACATGTATGATTTACAAATATCAGAACAATGCAGCATTAATTAAACTCCAGCAAGTGTTTAGGTGTTTATAGCAGCTGACTGCCTGGAAACAAACCATTCATTCTATACAATAACTCACTTGGCTTCATTTTTGGCATGCCAGCTTTAGTTGTTCTATTACCTGGTTGCCAAGACCTTAACTTTTGAATGCTTAGAGGAAACATCTTCTCGTAAGACAAATTTGACATCCTGGCTTGCAGGACTTGATATTTCTGTTTCTCAGCTATAAGTTATAAAAATACTTATGGATGTTTTAATTGGGACTGAAAAGGATTTCATAAAAAAAAAAAAAAAAAAAAGACAACATGCATCAAATCTTTCATGCCAAAACTCAATAGTTATGATTATTTTAAAAGTTTTCTGTAGGGGTGCACCGATTACAGGTTTCCGGCTTATCAATGGTTCCCGATCCTTAAAAAGCCTGACATGCCGATTCCAATTTTGGCCGATACAGAATTATTTTTAGAACTGATATTCTCAGCCGTTATTAGTTCACAAGACACAAGATATTTCAATCTAATATTACTGAAAAAAAACCTTTGAAATAACTACTGTCAAATATAAATTAAAGTTTAAGGCATTGGCAATGGGTGGTTTTAGACCTTTACGGAGGTAGATCAGTTTAGATTGGTGGAAAAGATTGGTTCTAACATCTAAGTATCGGTTGATAACCGATCTCCCAAAATGGAGAAAATCTGGGCCGATTGATCAGGGCCCATTGTAGAAGTTCAGGAAGACAAAAAAAAAAACCCTATAAAAATAAAATAAAAATTCAACAAACTACAAAGATTTCTCCCCAAGAATCACCTGCCTTTATAAACTGCCCCACAATGGTGTTTTCCTTTTCTTAAACCATAGTTTAATAAGTTTAATATAGAACTATAAAAATTCTCTGTTGTGGTTTCTGCACAGGCTCATGAAGTGGGGCTTTTCTTTGAAGCTAAATTTTTTTTCAAAAACTTTTCATAATGTGCCCCAATCATATGTGAAACATTTTGAAATTTAGTGATGCACTGAGATGGAAGAGGAAAAAAAACTGTACAGATCGAAATCTGCTCACCCCGTGTAGTCGGAGGTGAGCAGTCAGATTAAAAAGTCAGACGCAACCGGAGTGACACGGGCTTAAAGCATGTATTAAACCTCTTGCTATCTGAACTGTTTTATTAGCTCTGCAACCTTCAGGCAGTACACAGGTGCATGTTGAGTTTCAAAGAGCATATGGCGCAGATAGGAATTAAGTTTTCAAGTTTCTACAGGTGCAGAATAAGCCGACTGCGATTAGAACGTTGTGGTATAAAAATGGAACACAAAACCCATTTGCAAGTGATTATTGTCATGGGAACTAGGATACATAATAAACTAAGTATTTCTATGCTTTTTCTTCCTATTTTTACCATACTCTCATGCTCCAAAGCATAAACAGTTTGTAAAAAGAATCTCACCGGCGGAGGTAAACCCTCCAGCGTTTCACCTCCAGCAGGAACAGCAAACCCAGGCCCCTTGCCAAAGTCCTTCTTGGGCTTTTGATTGTCATGCTCGCTCCCGTCCCCCTCTGACACAGATGGCATAATTTCAGGTTGCCTTAAATCTGACAGCAGGTAAAGCGGCTCTCCTTTGTGGATGCGGGGGTGAACTTTATAGACCAAGGAGCTGGTTATAGAGGGGTCCAGGGCAGACCCTATGGGGTATGCAGGAGGTGGTTCTTTCAGAATCTGTTGCTGTGCGGTCAAAGACGTCAGGCTGCGATGCTGCTGTGACGGCTGTTCCGGAATAATCCCTGACACTGCTTCCTGTGAAAGAGGAGTGTGACGTCCACCATCATCCTCCAACTCTTCATCTTCTCCGCTGCTATGAACCAGCATTGTTGCATCAGATAGGGACTTTTTGTGTCCATACTGTGCTCCCTCTTTTATCTCTCCCCTCTCGTTTGTTTTGGTATGTTCTAAAAACATGTTTAGCTGGGACCCCTGGGATTGACCAGCATGCACCACAGGAGGAGGGGTTGCTACTTCTGCTCCTGATGAGGACAAAGTTCTCTCTTTGACTCTCACTGCCTCCAGACTGTGAGCCAAACCAGCGATCTCAATGGAGTTTCGTTTTTGAGCATGGTATGGCTGTCGATGTGGGGGTCCGCTGAAAAGAGGTTCAGACACCTCCTGTAAAGAGTGGGCAACAGGCAGGCTGTCTTCCTGGAAGGTCTGAACCGAGTGATGAACACGTCTTGTGATTATCAGGTCTGGATTGCTGCTGCTGACATAGAGATGACGAGACAGATCAGGAGTGCTGTTAGCAGGACGTGGATGAGCATATGGGTAAGGAGGTGGAGGCCGGTAGACCTGAGTTCTCATTATGTTAGGGGCTGGATACTCCTGCGCCTGTTGCAGCTGAACATTTGTGAGTTCTGGGACACTGACGGCTCCAACGACGGGTCTTCGCTCTGCGGGGTAGGGGTACGGAGAGGGGCTGTGGAAGCTGGAGCCAAGATGAAAGGGATACTGGTGATGTTGGGACGTTCCACCATATTCCACTCTGATTTCTGGTTGGCTGTAAACCAGCGGGTCTGGTCTGCTGTATGCGTACGAGCTCCCGATGTTCAAATTCCTCATGGAGTGGCTCTGCCGATGTTCTTGAGACAAAACCATTCCTCCCCCTATCCCTCTGTTCTTCTGCCTCATCACTGTCTCATAATCAGGAGTGGCGCGATAAGACGGTGGGATGAGGGCGCTGTGGCGATGAGAGGGAACGTAATCTGGTCTGGTGATGTCACTAGTAATGGAGGGGTTGGAGGACATAGGAGAAGGCTGTAGGTGGTGCTGGGGATTATTCAGAGAGCTGGTGCTGTGGGCGCTGTATACGCTGCCGTTACGGAGACGCCCTCCGCTGCTGTATTCCATAGGAGAGCGGTCCAGGCTGGTCTGAGAGTGGTAGTAATAACCATTGTTAACATACAGGTTATCTACAAGAGCGAGAAAACATCCAAAGTTAGAGGCAGTTTGAATGCAGTCATATTTAAGATTTCAGCTGAAACCAAATTTCTAGTCAGTGGTTACCTTGTGATGATGTGTAAGGCTCAGTGAAATGGCCATTGTAGTGCATCTGAGAAGGAGGCATCATATAGGCCTGTGGCTTTTGCTAGAAAGAAACCAAAACAGATTTCACAACTCTTATGCTTACTAATATTTATAGTCATGGGGTTTTTTTTATATCTAAGACAAAATAAATACAAATGGTATTTTTTTATAAGCTGTATTGGAATGTAATGTTGAGGATAAAGAGAGATGTTACCAGAGAGAGTCTTGTTGAAGATCTTCGTCTGACCTGGTTGACCCCCGTTGGTGGAGTTTGGCTAAGAAAAATAAATAAATAAATAAATAAATACAACTTACTAAGAAATAACTGGCAGTAAAAAATGTGACGTCTTCAAGTTAACCTTATTTTTTTTCTTAAGATCACCAGGAACCTGCCTGGCCTGTAGTCTAATAATTAGCATAAAAACTCTGCTTGAGTTATGTAACTGAGGCACTATTCATATGTAACTCTGTAAGGCCAAAAGTATTGAGACAGTTGCCTTTAGACAAAATTCAATGCTAAATACATTTTAATTGTATTCCTAATAAATATGCAGGCTTAAAGAAAAAAAAAGAAAAAATCCTGAGGCTGAACTTTTCTTGGAGAAGGCATGGGTTGTTTAAAAAGACTGTTTACACTAAATGGAAAAATTAGGCCAAAAAGAGGCAATTATTTTGTTGAATAAAAGATAATTCTTTATTGGTTATTATTAAACACTCTGTGCACCAGTTTTAATGCCTTAAGAACATTACAAATTGCAATGTAAAGTGCAGATTATAAAAGCGGTGGGTATTAGTTAAGACTTCAGAATATGATGCGTATTTCATTATGATACAACATTGCAATATTGGGACCCAGCAATATATTGTAACATTTTACTTCTGAGAAATTTAAAATGCAGCTTGAAATATACGTTATACCTATGTATATAAATCAGATAACTGAAACTCAATAAGTCAAAATCAAATAAATTAACTTAATCTATGTCCCATTTATTAAACGTGGACACATTTCTTTGCCACTTGGATCTGATAATAAAACCATTTTCAATCCTCCCCCCGAACGTAAATATTTGTCACTCCGAACAAGAACAGAGTATTTTAGTAGGATCATAGTAAAATCTGTCTGCACAGATGCCATTTTGAGGTAGACTTTCTCACTCAAAAATGTGTTAAAACCATCTTTTTCTCATTGATCAGAGCACATAAAGCACTGCGTCAGAAAACTTGGATTTAATTACTATAACTAATAGAAAATGTGACATTAAATGCAGCATCCCCCACTTTTATAGTGATAGAAAGAAGAATGAGATGGGTTAGAATATCATGCATGAAACAGATGAAGGAATCAGGCATTAGAAGTTTTCAATATAATTTAATTCAAAAATACTTTATTAAAACCAAAGGGAAATTAAGATCTAAATTAAATTATGGGGCTCAAAGCAGAAATAGACCGATGAATCGGCCAGCTGAAATTTTTCTATAATTCACACCATGAATTTAGCACTTTGACTTGCACTTAAACACCTGAATGCATCTCTCTGACCATGGAAAGCCCATCAATAGTTGAGTTTTCATTACAAATGTGTGCAGAACTACATCGATATTCTGCTGAATTCAAAAATGCAAGTTTTTGCAACTACTGCATTTCTATTAAAGAATACATTGAGTGTGAATATGTTTGTTCACGAGATAAATCTTATAAACAACATGGCGGCAGCGGATGTAAACATGTGATGTTTATCCATATTTCAGCCAAGGCTCTGTGCTCATCGCACTGATTGTCATGAACTGAATGTAAAATATACTTAGGTGTCCTGAGGAATGCAAATATGCCCCACCAACATCCTCCAATTACTTCCAGTCTTCTTCGTCCTTTTACAAGGCAGGTTCAGCTGCAGGTCAGGTGACTCTTGTGGTGCAAAAAAGTGTATAATCCTTTTAATGCAACAGAAAAACCACCCAATGAGACTGTAAAATGTTTATTATAAATGCCAGTATTTCCATTTAGCTATTTTTTTTTTCCTAATTACAATTTGTGCAATTTGACATTTATTGGAAATTCAGATAATGAAGCTCTATGTACTGTTCTTGAGTTATTAGACTTTTTTTCTTTACAGCTAATCATTCCATGGCTCAGTTACCCTTGTTCTTGATTGCTTCAATTTGTTTATAAAATAAACAAATAAAAAAAAAAAAAAACACAACCAATTGACTGTTAAATATATAGCAAATATACTTTCTTAATATGAGGCATCCTATCATGGAACCATTCTTAAATTCACAGAAGCAGTCTGCATACAAATGCATGCCGAGATTTACCGATTTACAGTGGTCTCAACACTTTAGGCGATACAGAAGGCTTTTACAAAGCCCACAGTAACTACAAAGCGTTTATTTTGTTGGCCTCGAGAAGCTAACCTGTGTGATCACACAGGGAGTGGGTGGCAGTGTTGCTCACCCCTTATCTGAAGGCAGTGATGTACGAGAAAGCATTGGAAAACGAGGAAATGATAGAGTTAGAAGGGACTTCTGGGAGCCCTCAGAAGGCAGGGGGACACATTCCTCTCTAAAGAGAGAGGAAAAGTGGAAAGACATGAGGTAACAGCAAAGAAGAGGCACACAGGAGACAGTAAGGAACAAAGAGACAGGAACTAGGCTAGACATGCAGCATAGCACTCACAGGTTACTCTTGTTGATCTTATAAAACTTGAGTCTGGCCAGACACATCCGGCATACATATTTAGAAGTTTCCATGTCTTCCTACAAATACAGAAAGAAAAAAAAAAAACATATAAAGCTGCAAGAGAAAATGTACAGAGGTATACCTACTGAGTTATGTTTAATTAAAATAGAGCATTGCAGAAGTATTTATACTCCTTTAACCTTTGCACGTTTTGTCTGTTCTAACCAAAATGATCCCTGACCTATTTGGCATGTTCCTTGGTATGTTGTTGTTCAAACCTCTGAAGCCTTCACAGAACAGCTCTATTTCAACTGAGATTAAATTAGAAACAGATGGACTTCAATTGCTAATATAATTAGGTGAATTCTAAAAGCGATGGGTAGCAACTGAATTTATTTTGGGTTGGTAACAGAGTTCAGTGGACTGAATGTGAATGCATACCCCACTTTGATATGTACAGAATTTAATGTTTTATGTTTTTCTTCGCCATGAAATCCCAAAAAAACATATCGAGGTGTTTGATTGTGAAGCGACTAAATAAGAAAAGGTTTGAGGAATGTGAATACTTTTGCAAGAGAGTTTATATATTCCTACATCGTTTTGGGTAATGACAGGCTAAAAAAATACATTCAAAATGTTGCACTCACAAAGAGATATTCCGATTAGCGATGGTTGAAATCCATCAAGAATTAAAATGTGCAGTTAAGAAAAATCAAATTAAACACAAAAATGTGAGACTTACAGTCTGGAACTGAACACTCTCCTCTCTGTTGCTGAGCTCCAGGCCAAAGAAGGACCTATTGTGACTCATGTTATTAATTTCGTGCCACCTGAAAAGGAGGATAAAAAAACAGGGAAAAAGATGGTGAATGTTCTTAAACCAAAACAATGCTCGACTTTTTCCAAAAATAAAAACAAAAGATGCACTAATTAAATTCATAACTTAATAATTCTGGCCTGAGGACACATATTCTTAGAATATATCTCACATAATCTCTGAGCTAACAAACAATGTTTTCTGTTTCATGTCTCCCTGTTATCTGTCATTTCCCTGTTGGCTTCATGCAATTAAAACGAGTGAAAGGGAAACAGCATTAAATGGGTTTACCGTAATTTTCGGACTATTAGCCACACCTGAATATAAGCCGCAGAAGCTAAATTGCATGATTTGTAAATATACAAGCCGCACCGGACTATAAGCCACAGGTTTTTCATGTTTAATAACAATATGGTTCGTGCTCAGAGAGGATTGTCGGGAAAGAGGCAACTGTTTGGAGAAGCTCCTATTTATTATTTCTACCAGTACGTTTGTTTTCCATAATGAGGGTGTCACACCAGCTGTCTTGCGCTCGCAATGTCCTTCTTTCTCGCTGTCGTTCTGTCTCGTACCACTCGCGGTAGAAGTCTGCTTCCTGAGGACCTAAGCATAAATTTGTCTTCCCCTCATCCTCTGGGCCAGGTTCTTTTAAGAGGTTCGACTGGGCCCTCTTAGTGAAATATGTGGTCAGGATTCCTTGTGACATTTTTGGTATTAGTCATTCAGTGCTTTCAGCACCGCCCTCCTGCGGTCAGTAGGGATTAAATAGACCAAAAGTTACGGTGCTATGAATCCTGCACGACTGCCAGAGTCGTAACTTTCGTTTTTTCCTCACCAGTTCATTGACCCTCTTCATGCACCTTGGAATTGGTGAAGTTGTGCTAGATATTCTGCATCTGAGCATTTCTTTGTCCAGCAAAATCTATTATTTTTGAAAGGCTTACAGGTGGATGAAGGCGTGTGCTGCACAAACTTTATGATTCATACAAACATCCAACCAGTCCAGCCCTTTTATGTCTGGTATTGTAGTAAAAGAAATTTATAGACTGAACCTTCAAAACCTACCAATAATAATTGTTATTTTTCATTGCATGTGTACTAATAGGAAAGAATATCATGCAACTTCATTTTTCATTCTAATCTTTTTAAGAACATTTTTACAAAATGTAAAAAACAGACTTATCTTTAAAAAGTTACCTGTATAATAGAGGGGAACGTCCATTTTTATATTTGACAAAGATTCCATCAAGGCAGGAACCCAGAGTAACATCTATGCCTGTGTTGTCCTGCTCAAGAAAAGGGAGAAAATAAATGGCTTAAGTCACACCTTTCTGCATTCTACCAATCAAATGTGTTAAATCCAATGGGCTCAGATCAGTAGGATTGATGCTGCAGACCCACCTTGGCTTGATAGCTCTCCTGGCCATAACCTTCCATCTTTTCAACCTCCTGCATGTACAACATTTCTGCCTCTGGAGCTGACAAACCTCTGAATAGAGCAAAGCAGAGATGACAATAATATGAAAACTCCATAATAGCACAAAAATAACATGCACTGATGCAACTGTAACAGCACTGTGACTAGAGTCAACCTCTTATCGTTTGAAGTGTACAAAGCCAGAGCTACAGAGGGGAAAAGCTCTTGAAACTGCAGTAGATGAAATAAAGTTCAATGATTAATGCAGGCTTTGTCTGGGTTCTCAACAGCTTCTCCTGAGTTTGAGATAATCAACCTGATGGTCTCTGGATTTTTTCATCCAAGCACAGAAGAAGAGAGATTGCTATAAAACAAGCTCACCTGTACGACTGATAGAGAACTGCCACTTTTTGAGTGGCCTCCTCCAACACCCTTTCATCCTGAATCCAGTCCTGCAAATACACATTTAGGTTTGATGCAATTAAAGCTTTAAACAGAAAACAACTTTCCTAATATGTGTTGAACGTTAAAAACTAGATGCTTACAATTGGGAAGAGTGCAAATTTCTGAAGAAAATCCTGTGAGTCATATCGATTGAAGTCCCCAAAATCAGCTGTGGGGAGAAAAAAAAGGGTCACTGTTGTTGAGCAGATGCATAGCAGAGGCCATTCGCTCAGGAATTAATTCCCTCACAACAAACTTTACATTTCCAACAATAAAAAAAAAAACATACGGAACTACAGTATAGTATGATGCATGATTCATGTATTATTAAAAAAAAAAAAAAAATAATCTATTTGTCCTGCACTGTCTGAAACCATATTAGTCCTAAACTGAAGCAGTTTCAATTATTTTCTAAAAACAGTCACTGCTATATTCAGTTTCCCAGACATGAGTAGTGCTAGAGAGCTTAACTGACGGATTTCCACTCCAGACAGCATGGTAAACCAAAAAAAAAAAAAAAAAAACTTTTGTACAGTGAAGAAACATAGCAGCAAGCGGAAGAACGTGATAAACCGGACTAATTAAAGAATCATCAACATCCAGATACTCTATAAGGAATCAAACCAGGACTACTCTCTCCATAAAAGTTACTGTTTTACCAGCTACTTACAAAGCTGACTGTTAAATTAGAGCTCTGGTGCTGAAATATTTGCAGATGTTTAAATCAGATAGCAAAAAATAAAGAATCGCCTTGCAGTAATCAAACTTGAATGCTGGAAAAATCAAGCACTGCTTTCTTGAGTGACGACAAACCAGAAGAAGCACACTGTCAGAAAAACTGGCTGTAAAATGTTTTATGTGGGCAATAGATGATAATTCACTGTTTTATTAACATCTCTGACAAAAAAGTAGCACATCATTTTTTTTTTACCTTGCACTGCTAAGCTGGCTAAACGTATAGCCTGGTCCAGGGAACATGTGATCCTGCCTTCCAGAACATCCTTCTTCAACTGCAGGTAATACTGGTATCTGAGGGACGGTAAGTGAAAGTAAGAGCTAATTTGGTTTTCAGTTTGCAATTAAAAGCAAATTCAAGAAATGTTGTGCAACTCTTTGGATCAAAGTCATTATGATAGCTCTGAATCATTATTTCTAATTGTTTATATTTTAAAGGGTAAAAGTGATTTATCTTTTTTCCTGAAGTTCACCTTGTGATCTCCTGTTGCAGTTGGGTAACACTGGGTATGTGAAACAAAACTCCAAAATAAACTGTGGGCTCCAGTCCATATTTGTCCAACTGTTTCTTCAACGCCTTCTCCAAATCGATCCACCTCTGCTGGTTCTGCTTATTGTAGTACCAAAGACTGAAATATGTGATCTAAAGGCACAAACAAAAGAAAAATTACTGATTAATCACATGACTGAAGATAGTACACACTGAACTGGGTTAATCTGGAGGACATTTTTAAACTCCAAGTAATCTTACACGTTTTATAGATGAAAGGGTTGCTATTTAAATGTATATGCTTGTCAGTTCATAAATTTAGAATTTAACTGGCAACACTGCCATCTGTAACCACTAGAGCATTGTTTAGATGGCTGTATGACTGGAGGTCCTCACTGCTACACTTTTCTATTTATATATCATGCCAGTCCATTAGGGGGATGCTATGGTGCTGGTAGTGATTTCATGGAGAAGATACTGAAGATGGATATCGGGCCCAAGTTTGATTGCAGGGCAGTGGACAGCCATTGTTACAATCAGTACACATGGGTGGTCAGTCCTGAAAGTATCAGAAGTCTGTCCCAACGGAAGCAGCTTCTGACCATTTGAAGGTTTTGGTGTTTGATCTGGTGCCTCCCTGATGGTTGATGTAGTAAACCACAAAGTTTATTGGCAAGAATGAAGACTATCAAGTAGAAAAAGAACAGTGTTTAAACATATCTACAGACAGCAGTCAGGGGTAATCTATGTAAATAAAAAAATAAAATAAAAAAAAGTGTAAATTAAAACTAGAATGCTTTAAGGTTTAGAAAAAAAAAATAAAGAATTGAACCAGTTATTTATAAATTCGACAGTTTTAAACAACTTCAGGTGTCAATTGAAAAAAATGCGCCGCCCTGGCCCTGCAGGAAGTTGTATTGCAAATTTTGTACTGGATTCTAGATAAAGTATTCTTTAAAGCAACTCAATGCGGATTTATTGTTAGATGAACATTGTTTGCAGAGGATGGTTAGTTCAACTAACAGAATTCAACCAACATTCATAACAGTATAGGCATAAACCTGCTGATTAAGCGCAAAGGCATTTGAGTAATTCTGTTAAAAAGGACACAGTTTCAGTGCGGGTAGTTTTGACCACAGAGAGGTCTTCTAAGACAGTACAACATTTTATTCATGATTTGGTCAGTGTGCAGGTGACAATGGTGGTGAGACATGGCTGAGAACTTTATCATTAAAGGTAAGTCAACTCCAGCTTACAGCCCATGGAGCAATGGACTGTTAGAATGCCATAATCTAATTCTTACTGAGATCCTAATGAAAGCAAAAACAAGCAGTGGATCTGATTGGAGCACCACCATGGATCATATTCTTAAATCTTTTATCTTGAAACCTTTAAACCCCCTTTTAGGTGTTCTAATATCAAAAGGTCATCCTATCCCAACTGTTTTTCATTTGTCAGCCTTTTATTACAATTAAGATATAAGTGTAATATCCATTATGACTCCTGCAAAGGAAAGACACTTTAGAAGTTTATTCACTTTGTGTTTCTATTTATTGCAGTTAGATGATATGAACATCTTTATTGGCAGAATTAAATTAAAGAAAATGTTCTTAACATGTTTTATGATTTGTCCCCAATTAAAGATCTCCATTATTAAATTTAGACCACATAAATAGTCTTTCCAATGTTACAGTGAGGAAAATTATTCTGAAACTAAATGCTGTTTTTTGTATCTTCTTTTACCAGGTTCAAGAAAGAATGTGGACAGGGGATGGCCCAACCAAAATACTTTACTGCTGAGACACCAAGTCCTAAAAGGAACAATCAGCATTTGTATTGAATGAAAACCCATACATACCTCTCTTAACTCGAGTCTCTGGGCTACTGCCTCCAAACATTCCTGTCCAGTGCTCTCCACAGACAGAGTAAACTCAACAAACTCTCCATTCAGAAGCTGAATCCGAGTGACAAGACAGCTCTTGCTTGAAACAGTATACCTTCGAGTCCTTTTGAGTTTAAAGCCAAATGGCAAGGGCATGATTTATTTGTTTCACACGTGGCGTTGTCTTCCCGTCCAGAGGAAGTACTCCCTTCTGGTGTTCGCTCAAACACAGAGAAACTCTCAAGTCATGAGGATGGTCAATGTCGGACCTGAAACATGAGAGGAAAAATATTAGAAAATAAATATAATAGAAAAAAAAGAGGGATGGTTAAAAAAACACCCCCTCCTTATTACTCAGCTTAGCAGCCCTTAGCTTTGTGTGCAACTCATCCCATATAAAACATACCGCGCCCCCTCAGAGACCCTAAGGGGCGGGGCTAAGATTAGTCTATCTCCAGAGATTAGTCTCTGAGGATGAGTGGCAGGATTTAAGTAGAAGGTGCAGTCAGGATGAGGGAAAGCGGCAGCTACAGTAGGTTAGCCTCATTTAGCACAGAGTGAGGCAAGTAGGGTCCTTTCCAGCTGAAACTATGCTGAAATTTAGCTGTTGAGTTTCAGTGAGGCGTTGCCTGGTTACAGGTGTCATACCCCATAAGGAAAAAGTTTTTGGCTAATATGACCATCTCCTGAGGAGGCTTAGGTCCTTTGGAGTGAGCAGGCCCCTGCTTAAAACCTATGACTTTGTGGTGGCATCAGCCCTCCTCTACACTGTTGTTGGCTGGGCCCCTGGCAGCGCAGAGCGGGACAGAAAGAGACTGAACAAACTGGTGAGATAGGCCACTTCTGTCCTTGATTGCACTCTGGACTCAGTGGAGGAAGTGGCTGAGAGGAGGGTGCTGTCCTAGCTCATATCCATCATGGACAACATCTTCCACCCTCTGCGCCAGACTGTAGAGGAGCTCAACAGCTCGTGTAGTGAAAGCCTTTCATCTCCTTTTTGTAAAAAGGAGCCTTACCTCTGGTCATTCATCCCTGCTGCAGCCAGACTCTACAATGAAATACGGCAATAACTTGTGCAACGTACAATGTGCATGCACTGGGTATCAAACCCTGTGCAATAACCCAGTATAATGATCCCAATATAAAAATAAGAAAAAAGCTGTCGTATGTGAACGCACTGTATTTCTTCCTTTGCCACCTTCTTCTTCCTTGACTATTTGAGCTGATGTAATGAGTAAATTTCCCCACTACAAGATCAATAGAGTCAATCAATCAATCAATCAATCAATAAATAAATCCAGCCAGAGAGAAAGTGGTCAGATTCTTCTGCTGCAAAGAGTGCAAAGGGCAGGACCTTCACCCAGGCAGCACTGTTAGCTACATATAATAAAAGTAACATCATGTTTTCTTAAAACAAACTGGCTAGCTTTAGCCTCAGTTCTGAGGCAGACCACTTGGTGAGCTGGTCAAGTCATCAATCAGAGCCTGTCAGAGTTGATTAGACTAATCTTTCCTCAGCTGTGCATTTTATGTACATTCATTCATACTTCAAGCTGTACTCATAATACCATAATATTTGCGCTTACAGTTACCACACCAGAATATCAGAATATCATACCAGCCCAGTTTGAATCAGGGTAAGGCAGCGGCCATATGGAGATTTGAAAGGATTTCCAAACAACTGGGATGTCAAAGAAACCAGCCAGTGGTCAGAGATTTCTTTCTTCTTCTACCCAATAAAATTAAACATCATTGTTGCATCGGTGCATAGCCACCCCCTGCAGAAGTAGTTAAGCCAGGTTTAAACTGTACGAGTTTTTGCCCTTTTTGGGTCGATTCTCCAGTCGTGCGAGAATTCTCTGGTTCAGGCCAAGTTTCAGCCTGATCGTGCAGTATGCAGGGGGGTAATCAGGGGTGATTAGCCTGTCACAAGCCCCTCACAATCAGGATTCTTAAGGTTCTGGAGAAAATCAAACATGTTGGAATTTCAGTAAACCCTAGTAAGGTGCTGATGTACAAACAAGGGAGTTCTTATTCTTCTTCTTCCATGTTGATGAATCCGACCATCGCCACCTCTAGACGACGAGTGTGACGTGCGTTTTTTGGACGTACTGTATGAGCAGGTAGATCGCATCAGAGCGTCGGGCCGTACAGTGAAGTTCTAAATCCTCCAGTTTCGTCTTACAGTTTGAACTGTAGATGAGTACAGCGATTGAGAATATCATAGAGTGTGTGCCCAGCTAATAGTCAATTAATAGATTATTTTTAGATGGAATTTTTATCCATGCTCTTGCCAGAGGTTGAGGAAGGCTTAGAGGAGTCTAGTGGGCCTGAATCTTATCAGTTACAGGCGCTGACTTAATGATGCCAAAATCCTGTGCTGTCAAGCCAGCAGAGGACAGAATGACCTGTGACGATAGGCAATAGCCATCGTTCCACCACTTGAACAGCAGCACCTAGTTTAAAAACATACACTGCAGAAGTGAACAAGTTCACATACATGTAAAAGAAAAAAAAAGTGACAATAATGTAGCACCCTATAGAGCCAGTTTACACAGCTTATATGCAAAAAAGAGAAAAAAGTTGGATTTTGGGGTGAGTCACACTTTAATCAAAATACCCAATGAAAGACTAAGCAGAAATGTACACATCATTCACTGGTGAAAGTACTCAACTAATCAATCCCATGTGTTTATAGTTGATTTTATATTATTTTATACCAATGTTTTTTTTTTTGCTTGTTAGCAACAACGAATTATCCAAAAAAATAAATAGATCAACAAAAGTCATTTTGTTGCTATTTTTTTTTTACACTTCTTAATTTATTTTCAAGAGTTAAACACATTTTTTTTTATTAATGTCAAAGTGAAATATTCAAGGAAAATGAAAAAGGATAGCTTACAATCTAATGGCAGAAAAATGACTGACCAGTACAAACTTTTTTTTTTTTTTTACTATTATTGTTATTCTCATGTGTGGCTTTTATGAAGATACTGCATGATAACACAAATAAGAGCTATTAAAAACACAACATTTTAAGCAAAATTCATCTAAATTGGTGTCAGAGGGCAGACAGACACATTGCTTTACGTGAAGTACTACTTTGTAAATCAGGATTTGGTCATTTGCGATGCGTAAACTAAATTCGCCTCATTCATTCAATTTTAATCGTTTTAACCCATTTAATAGAAAAAAAGAAAGGTATTCCACCTTCTGAACTAGGTATAGGTACAGCTTGCGCTTGGATCCCGTCCCAGGAAAAAGTCTGATCCCCACTGCTTCCAAAACCTGTGATTCGATAATCAACAATCTGCATAATAAATAGTTTTTTCAGCAACCCATCGTATTTTAGGGTCGATGCAACAGTATATAATTCAACCAGCTATGTCTGAATGAGCAATGTGTAACGTTTAACGTTGTCAGTGGTTCATTCCGACTTTCATTGCGCTGTTTTAAACTCTTTTAAATGATGTCAGCTAACTTCTGTTAGCTAGCCAGCTAAACTCTGCTCCAGCAAATAGACGACACCCTCGGGAGGTTGACGTCGCCGGTAAATATTATGGGAGGAAAAAAAGGTGTTAACGTTACCGTTAGCCAAGTGATGCGATTTAAAAGTCCGAACTATATCAGTTCCTTGAGGATTTGGTCATCGATGTGCGCTGAAAGCAAGTCTTAGGGCAATTACTTGATTTTAAGAGAGTTTACTGGACTATAGTTAGTCCGCAGATCTAAACTAACGCAACAACTCCATGCCTCCTGGACCAACAGTTCACTAAAGTTCCAAGCGTGTTTCGCTTCCTGGGATTGGAAGAGCAACAAGTGTATTTCGTCTCCATCCGCGCCTCTATATTTTTAGAGTTAATGTTTCAAGGCTCAGATCATTTCCACACTGAAGATGAAAACAAAATGGATTTATTCTAAACACGTAAACGCTGTGTGCATGTCTAAAATGTATTTGAAAACGTTTTAGAAGTCATTATAGTCCCTCGGCGGCGGATGAATACACTGGCCTTTTCAGCGGCATGACATCAGACAGCTGGAATGCTGAGCGGTGAAAATGCTAGAAATGGGACAGCTGTCACGAACTGCTGTCCGCGGACGTGTTTGTTTACCTATTGCATCGACTTGCTAGCTCACCCAATAGTTTCAATCACACGCATCGTGCTGTCCAAAGTTTTATTTGATTGCTGTAATTCCACAGACGCGATACAAAATTTACTGGTGTTATGAGCGCTTCAAGGTTCAGATGAGAAAGACTGACAAAACAGAAAGTTTTGAAAGACACTTTCTGGTGAAATTCATAAAAATAAAAAAAACTATATATATATCAGTGGTGGGCTGAGGGCCTTCAAAGCCTTCTCTGCTGGCCTAAAATCAATCAGAAAAACTAGCATATATTCTCAACCTAAACTTTAAATTTCTTCTCTCCAGCTCCATTAATTTATTCAAAACAATTAATTCTATTAATTTTGTAACGTTTCTCTTGATTACTGAGCTGCTTCTTTTACATTTATGTGGTCTCTATATTTTTTGTCCAATCGGATTTCAGCCTTAGTGCATTGCTATGTCAATCAAATCTGCCCAGGGCCTTCAGAATCAGCAGTACTGGCTAATGTTATCTAACAATATTAGTGAGGAGCATTTTCTTCAACAGAAAACTGCACAGTGCTGCCTGCTGCATCCTGACACTAAGTATAAAAGGATCATTCAAAAGCTGATAGCCATCAGATTTTATTTTAAACCAGTTTACCTTAGCAGAGTGAAAGCCACAATTACAGGAGACAGACCCTCTAAAAAGGGTGGTCTAAGCTTATGCTTGCACGGGGCATTTTTCTATCTGAAATGGTACAGCATCATCCTATTAACGACAATCAATCATGTCCTTTCTTTTTTTTCTTTTATTTTAACAGTGGCTTTCCTGATAAAAATCATGCAATTTCTTCTGCCTGGTCGATTTCCAGCATCTGATTTCAAACCCCACAGCTGGCAAATGCTCTGAGCCTTGCCATCCACTCCTCATCTCCCATACCTTCATTGCTCTTTGGTCAT